ATATTAAAAATATGTATCTTACTAATTATAATTAGTAAAAATATAAGCATTATAATATTTTTATTTGTTATTATATATATATAATAATAAATAAGCTATTATGCATAATAAAAATAATATTATTTATATAATAAATTCAGCTAATCAAAAATAATATATGTGATATTTCTGGTATTGAAAATTTGACTGTTACTATTAAATTGATAAAAAAATCTAACTACAATAAAAATATATAGTATTATAAAAATATCAAAAAATTTTTGATTATATATTTTTTTAATAATTATATATTTAAATCAAAATCTTTTGCCTTTCAAAATGATTCAATGTGACTAGACTGTTCACATCATAATCAATCTTTTAACAAAAGCGAGTAGATAAACTTTAGTAAAAAAGTAAGTTGCTAGTTAAAAATCTGTTTAAATTAAAATATTTATCTCTATATTTTCGATTACAGTCAAACCTGATATAGCAAAATTGATAAGTTTTGAGATAAGATGGTTAAATATAAAAATAAAGTAAATGTAATACTATGCATAATTTAAGATATGATGAAAAATTTACTACATAAAATGAAATGAATTCAAGGTCATACTTGAACGTAAATTCACTTACTTTCACAAAATCAGTTTTCTAGATTTACTAGTAGCAAAATAAGTTTTCAAAAACTATGTAGCCTCACTTAACCCTGGTTTCGTACATCCTTTACATAATATTCTTCCATGAAGAAGTGAACAAGATTGATTGGACGCATCGTTCATCTCCGAGCCTACATGATAGCATGAAAAGGCACCCATGCATAATCAACTCCAAACGCAAATAAAAGGCAATCTCTCAGATATGACAATATATTGTGCAGTCCACAGCGAAGCGACCGCATTCTTCACAGTCAGCACTATTGAATTTGCCAACCTCTAATCACCAAGACCAAGAATTAAAGAATCCAGCTATATCAAAAGAATCAGAGGATCGAAATGTACAGCTACCGAAATTATAAGCTTGTGATGGATAAGGGACCAATGAACATCTCTTAGAGCATTGTTTGATGGAGTGCCTTTTCAACATCCTGACAACCACAATCCCGACACACCCATTTCCTGACATATGAAAACTTAGCCTCCCAAAAATGCAACTTCAACATCCTGAAATCCAACATCCCGAACATTCAATACCCTGATGTTTTAAATCCTGAAAACCCAATATCTTCGGAAGTTATTGATTCAGGAGATAGAGTATTGCAAAAAAACCGGTAACAACTAAACATTTCATTACCCATACCATACTTCTTGGAAATCTATATCGTACATCTTATCATAGGACTCGAATTTTAACATTTCGGGATTTTTAAATGTCGAGATGCTGAGTTTTTGGGGTTACTGTGATTGTCGGGATGTCGTACAAGATTCTATTTGATATGTTATAAATAGCTTGCTATTTGGTGTGTCACAGCTGTTTGCCATTCGTTGCGTTACTTTTAGTTGTGCAGCAGATTAAAATCGCCCTCCAACAAAGTTTCGCATACGCTTAAAAACTATAATTTACTTTGCAATCACTGATTGAATATCCTCTTGGGAAAGAATATTATAAAATTATTTTTGACATATAAATATTAAAAATTTATAAGAAAAATCATGAAAAATTATATTCCATTTCGTGACATTTTTTGTCAAAAACTCATGCTTGATATTTATTGTCATTTAATAGAATTTGAATGTCGGAATTCCATTTGCTAAATTAGAATCATAGTCCTACCATTCTTTATAAGCTGAACAAAGAATGAACCCTTCTTTATTTTTAATTAAAAACAGAGTGCAGATTTGTTTGATTGATAAGTATTCACAAGAATGCACTGTTAAATTGATTGTTACTCAAGCATTTTTTTTTTTCTTTCTTATCGTTACACATGTATATGTACATGATTTCCGGCTGAAAATATATTTGCATATTTTATTTATTTTGATTTTACTGTCAAAGAAAATATTAATTATTAGATCATTAAAAATTTCACATATCGTACTGAACTAACGCTAATTCTTAAAAATCTATCAATTAAAATATAATTTTTTACAGAATATCGAATGATTAAATCAATCTATTTCTATTAAAGTACAACTAAAGAAAAAAAATATTATATTAAAAGTTATTATTTTGTGCGTGTGAAAAGGTAAAAATTAATTAGATTAGCTTGAATCATTTTACATATTATTATTATACAGGCATAAAGTATTAATTTATACATTAAGGTTATAAAAAATAAATATAATTTTGAGATTAGGAAAGATTGTTTATAAGAATAATTATATTGTGAAGGCGAAAAGTAAAAGTAAAAAGAATGCCATTATTGATCCATGGTGTTCACCTGTTGTTGCTCCTTCATTCGGTAATCCTTTTATATTCTTTGGTGTTGAAGATGATGACTTTTCGTTTTTTAATATTTCCTGCGAGATAGCTTTAGAAGAATCGTCCGAGTCCGAATTAGTTTGTTGTTTAAAAGCAACATGAATTTTAGCGAAGATTGGTTTATCATTCGGATTTGTTACGGCCAAGCATAAATCGATTCCATTCGTATCTTTCTCTCCATTTTTTATATTACCAGAATGCGAACAGAGTATTGTCGTGGCCATTGTTTTGTAATTATGATAACAGCTAAGGGATCTGAAGAGCTTAAATCTTAGTCCATCGAAATAATTATTTATGTCGCTTCGTTCTGCCACGACAGTTTGTATTCCGCCTTCTGCCACTAATAATTTTACTCCGTCTACTTCAGTTTGCGTGTAATTTTTGGGTGAGATTATGGGGAAAGGATGTATTTTATCGTAAGAGGTCGTTGATGTAGTAGAAACTTTTGCGTCGCTTGTTACTTTCACTGAATAACCTAATAAAAGAAGATTGAATGGGTATAAGTTTTCTTTATACACAGTGAAATGATTTCTTAATTAATGGTATAACTTACTTATATAAGCAGTCGCTTGTTCACTACACACTAACCATGTCGAGGATTGAGGTATGCTAACCATATACGGTGTTTGTGCATATATTTGATTATTCTATATTTATTAGAAAAATTAGTAAAGTTTTTTTTTTAAAATTAAGTGTTTTTCTTGTATCTTACCTGTGTCGAGAGCAATATAATAAAAAGCAGAATCACAACAATTTTATTCATTTCGATAATTATTTTCTACGAGAAACTGTGTATAAAATGCTAGCGTTTATGATATTAAAATTTTAATATAGAGAAAAAAATGAATTTCTCGTTTTATATTTATTTTTATCAAAAGAACGCCAAGATTTTTGTTGAGCGTTAAAAAGAAAAGAAAAAAAAACCGAAAGCAAGCAAGCAAAATATAAAATTTAAAAGGACGATCTTTTCTATTTGTACTCCGCGTGCTCAGGCTTTTTTTTAACTTGTGATATGCGTATGATCTTGGTTAATTTTTGAAGTGGGAATAAAATTAATCAATCAAAATTAAAAAAATAAGAAAGGTGCTGTCGCGTGGAGTATATATGTTTGGTGCGATTAACAAATTGTTAAGCACATTTCCCTGTATTTTTTGATTACATGCGGTGACAAATTAATGCGGTGAAACTCGATCATATACCGACTGCAAGTTGGAGATCCGTATGCATTTAATGTATTACACGTGGCATCGGTGCCCGACTAATCGATAATTCAGGTAACATGCTTTTGTTTAAAAAGCATGCTGGTTACATGACTGATTGATAATAATCAATAAAGCCTTTTAGGAAAAAAAAGGATTTTTTTCCCATTTCTTATATCAATGGTTTTTTAGAACTAATAAGGTGAAAATTTTTGATTGCTATAACATGCGAATGATTGCAAATTTGTTCGGGTTTTTCATATTATTGCAATTTACCAAAGAGAGA